TAGTTCAAGGCCTGTTTGTGTTGAGGGCATTTGTGCAGCTGATACAATTAAACTTAAACTGCTGCTGTTAAATCTCTGGAGGGATGGAGCTTGTAACACTAACTAAAAAAAAGGCATAACCTCACTTCAAACCACGTACATGATCACAAAAGGCTTAAAATGCAGATGTCAGGAAACACGTGCTTTTCTGATGATGATTTAGTCTTCTTGCTTTCATAGGGAAAAGAGACCTGAAACGTAGGGGGAAAGACTCAAAATGAGGTGGGGTTGAAGACAAATACAGTGGTTTTGCCAGGCATCTTCTTTTACCTCCAACTATGTGAGGCAAACAGAAGCTGAGTCAGAAGGTTCTTTCTGTCTGGGCCACTGCTCTCACATGTGTACTCGTGTGTGTGTGTGTGTGCGTGTGTGTGCATGTGTGTGCAGGGACATCATTATGTAGTCTGGATAATTAACTAATCACACTGTCTGCACGTGATATTGGAAGTTTATGGGCTTTTTTATTTTCTGAAAGGACAGCCAACTTTCTTTTAAAGGCATTTCATTCCCTGAGAATCTATTATCTACAGGGCCATTTTGCTCATCGATTTTGAAAAGCAGGGAAGATAGATGTATTTAAAATGTATTTGGTGACTAAGAAGTGAATTGTTTAAAACATCTTTGGACTCAGCAGGCGGCGGCTGCAAAGGGAAAGTGCTGTGGACCCTGCAGAACGCTTGCATTCCTCCGGACAGTGATTCCAAACAATCCTGAACCCTCCTATGCTTGCAATGTTGTTTCATGCATGTGGTTTTGCTCTTTTTTTGTGGGGGAAGGGAGGATTTGTTTTTACAAAATAAACACCACATCAAATATTCCCAGGTGTATAATGAAGCAGCAGTTCCTGTCCCCTCCCCCAATCCCATTTCTATTTTTAAAAATATTTTTCACTTAATGTACAATCCTTTTTAAAAATTATTTATTTATTTGGCTATGTCAGGTCTTAGTTGCAGCATGCAGGATCTTCGTTGCGGCATGCGGGATCTTGCTGTTGCAGTGTGTGGGCTCTCTAGTTGTGGCGCGTGGGCTCTAGAGCTCACAGGCTCAGTAGTTGCGGCGCGGGGGCTTAGTTGCCCCATGGCATGTGGGATCTTAGTTCCCTACCAGGTATTGAACTCCCATCCCCTATACTGGAAGGCGGATTCTTAACCACTGGACTGCCAGGGAAGTCCCCGAATCCCATTTCTGATGCCTCCCCCTCTAAACAACTTCTCCAGCTCCATCTGCCATTATTTATCTGCATATTTCTTTAAAAAATGCTTATACTGTTGCTTATTGATTTCTTTTCCAATATTAGACATTATTTACTGAGTCCGTACTATGGAAGGTGAGAATTTAATCTTCTTATACCATATACATAGACATGCAATTTTTCTCTGCCAGTCTCCCCAAATAATTATATAACATTTTGGATAAATTCATGTTTTTTATTATGATGGCAATGTAAATATTGTTCAGAGCTAAACTATAATGCAATTGTATTTCCTTTTTGTACAACTTTTTGTTTTTCTTGGAGTTAATGATTGCTTCCATTTTTATGGTTTACCTTTAATGTACCCATCACTAATTCATTCTCAACCTCTATTCCACAGCCGAGAAATTCCTTTCAACATGCTCTAATAGTTCAGAATAATCTATCATTTCCTTTTATTTTTTTCATTGAGATATCTTTCCTAGAGCTGTCCTCCTGTTGTAATGTGGGTGGGCCAGTTGGTTTCTAGGACTGTGATAGAACTGTCTTCCTGGAAATTCTCCTTACCATTCTACAGAGTTAAATGTCCTATATCCTATTTCTTGGATCCTTTTTTTCTCTTTCTTCACTCACTTCTTTTTTTACTGGAGCACATTATTTAGAAGAATTGAAGGTGAAACGTTTGAGGCTTTTACATATTCTTCTGATTCTTCTATCATTCCTAGTGCTTGATAGTTTGACTAGGTCGAGAACCCTGTTAGAAATTTCCTCTCAGAATCTTTTTTTTAAAAATTAATTAATTAATTAATTAATTAATTTTTGGCTGTGTTGGGTCTTTATTGCTGTGTGCAGGCTTTCTCTAGTTACAGTGAGCGGGGGCTACTCTTCATTGTGGTTCGCAGGCTTCTCATTACGGTGGCTTCTCTTGTTGCGGAGCACTGGTTCCAGGCACGCAGGCTTCAGCAGTTGTGGCATGTGGGCTCAGTATTTGTGGCTTGTGGGCTCTAGAGCTCAGGCACAGTGGTTGTGGCACATGGGCCTAGCTGTTCCACGGCATGTGGGATCTTCCCGGGCCAGGGCTCGAACCCGTGTCCCCTGCATTGGCAGGCAGATTCATAACCACTGCTCCACCAGGGAAGCCCTCCTCTCAGACTCTTGAAGGTTAGAAATAATGTTTTTTTCTCTTGTCATCTAGCTTTCAGAGATGCTGGTGTCTGACATCACTTGATTTCTAATCCATGCATGTATGAATCTCATCTCATTTTATACCATTGAATCATCTCCTTCCACCTTGACTGTAGGCCCAGCCAGAGGACTCACCTTGGTCAAAAGGACTCTAGTAAACAGGGTGCAAGTGGAGGTTTGAAAAGTGCTTGTGCATTGGGCTGGCCCCTTCTTGCTGCTGAGAACCCTTCCATCACCCTTGTGAACAGAACAAACTAGTTTCCTAGAAGATAAGAGATTGTGTAGAGAGAAGTCCCAGCCATCCCAGGACATCCCAGACACGTGAGCGAGGCCGTCTGGGATGATACAACTAACAAGCCTCCAGCTCAGACCAGAAGAACCACCCAACCAACCCACAACTTAAGTCGCTAGGTTTGGGTGATTCGTTACACAGCGAAAGCTAACTGATACACTTCCCTTCCATTTTCCAGAAGCTGTTAGAAGAGTCTCCTTATCCCTACTGTTCTCAAATTTCAAAGATGTGCCTCGATGTGGATTTTTTTTTCATCAGTTATGTTGGAGACTCAGATCTCTTTCACTCTCTGGAAGCTCATATTCTTTAATTCTGAGAACATTTCTCATATTTTCAAAATTATTATTTCTTCCCATCTATTTTCTCTTTCCAGAGTTCCTATTATTTAAATATTGGACCTGAAAACGTGCCCCATTGGGTTAACAGAAACTGGTGACTAACAGAAATTCTTGATCTTGTCTTACAGAACACCAGATAAGGGAACAGCTTGTTAAGAAACCCTTCACTTGTGACCTGCCTTCACTGACCAAGCTCACCTTAATTATTTTTTGGCTCCCTAACTGCCCCCTATAGATAACACCTTTGAAGTAGGGGTTGCTATAGTAATGGGGGCTTAAGTTGTTTTCCAGGAACTTGGAGTCAGCTCCAGTGCAGTTGAAGCTGAGTAAGACTGATTAGGAATGCCCACCCTAAAATTTGGCTTGCGCAGGTGTCCAGTGACATACATCTTGACACCAGAGGGCTGAAAAACTCCACCCTCAGATCGTGCTAAATGCCTCCATTTTTTTTTAAACAGGCATCCCGTGGAAAAGCGTGTAACCCAGATACACCTGCGCACAACACCGGTTACCTCACTTTTTCCCTACCTCCAGTCACCTTTTCCCACACCTAAGACCACCCTACTCCTTTATCCCATAAATATCTCAAGCCCTCGCCTTCAGGGAGGCAGATTTGAAATTTGTTCTCCATTCTCCTTCTTTGGCTGCCTTGCAAAGGAACCTTTTCTGTGTGACAAACCTCCATGTCTTAACGTTTGGCTTGCTTCAGGTCAGGCAAATAAACCTGGCTTGGTAACAGACCTACTAGATTGCACTCCTATTTGTTTTTTTCAAGCTTTAATTCCTACTTCTTGTCTCTATGTCTTTTTCTTATACTTTCTGGGGTATTGCTTCAATGACTGAATTTTTAATTTATAATAATAACATACTTTGTTTCTGAATGTCATTTTTATAATATTTAGTTCTTTTTTTCCCTGGATGAAATATCTTGTCTGTCTGTGGATCTTAGTTATAGCATTATTTTTTTTAAAAAAATCTCTGTTCATCCCACTTTTCTTTTTCTTTTTGTTTTATTCTGTCTTTTGGATTAGCGGCTGTACTCAGATGTTCAGTGGCTTTTGATTATTCATAGTTTTGGGTGGCGGGTTGTGGGGTTTTTTGGTTAATATTTATTTATTTATTTATTTTGGTTGCACCGGGTCTTAGTTGTGGCAGGCAGGCTCCTTTGTTGCGGCTTGCCAGCTCCTTAGCTGCAGCAGGCAGGTTCTGTAGTTGCGGCAGGCAGGCTCCTTAGTTACGGTACACATGTGGGATCTAGTTCCCTGACCAGGGATCAAACCTGGGCCCCCTGCATTGGGAGCATGGGGTCTTATCCGCTGTACCACCAGGGAAGTCCCGATTATTCATAATTAAATGTAAAGCACCACAAAGCTTCTTGGAAGCTGTGTATATTGGCAGAGTTTGTGAACTGGCGGCCCTCCCTTTAGGGTGACCATGTCGCAACCTGGTCATTTTATTGGAAGGATGAAAAATGTGAATATCTTTGGGGCTTTTCTCTTGGGTCAGGCGATTTCCCCAGGAAAAGTTCTCCAGTACCCTACTGGGGGTTGCAGGGTGGGATTAAATCTCACTGCCAGCATTCTGGGACCTACGTAGGGCAGGGTGAATGTGCCAGCTCTTACTTAACCCCGATTTCCAATGCGGTGGTCTGGAATGTAGGGGACACGGGTTCGATCCCTGGCCCGGGAAGACCCCACATGCCACGGAGCAACTAAGCCTGTGCGCCACAGCTACTGAGCCCGTGTGCCACAACTGCTGAAGCCCACGCACCTAGAACCCTTGCTCTGCAGCAAGAGAGGCCACTGCAATGAGAAGCCCGCGCACCACAGCGACGAGTAGCCCCCACTCGCCGCAACTAGAGAAAGCCCGTCTGCAGCAACGAAGACCCAATGCAGCCAAAAATAAATAAATTTATGAAAAAAATCATAATAAAAAACATTAGTTTATCCAAAATGTTATATAATTATTTGGGGAGATTGGCGAAGAAAAATTGCATGTCTATGTATATGGTATAAGAAGATTAAATCTTCACCTTCTGTAGTATGGACTGTGCTCTGGGAACTTGGGAACACAGCTTCCTATGCCTCTCCAGGGAATAAGGCTGTCCTCTTCTCCCTGCCGTTGTCCCTGCCTTGTCTGAATCCTGAGCCTCAGCAGATTCTGCACTGGGAATCCATTGCCTCGCCCCTTGGCTTTTCGTCCTGTAGTTGCTGAACTCTCAGCTTGCGTCTGTCTGCTAAATGAGTTTACTAGCATCTGTAACTGTGCGGCTAGCTCTCATCGGCTATTGTCTCCTTCTCCGTTCTCTTTGTTTTTATGAATTTATGCCTTTAAAAAGTTTTTTAATTCTCTTTTCTTCTCATCTTAAGTGAGGTGTTGATAGGAAGCTCATGTGTTCAGCTCATCTTGTTTCACTGAAACCTGTAGTGAGCTTTTCATACGAATGGTGAGTGCTTTTTGTACAAGCTAGTTACCCAAACTAAAAATAATTGATTACATGGGTGGTTGGAGTCAATGCATCTATCTGACCCACTTATTTTATAAAGAAATAAATTTTTTATCTGAAGGCGACTACCCATCCCAGCTGTTTCATTGTCAAGCACATTGCTAAGGATTTATCAGAATATATACTTACTGGGCACTTTGTCTTTTCCACTTGATCTGAAGGAAAAGAAACAGAGTAGCAAGGGATGAAACGTCAAGCTCTTTGCTTGTTTAAATGTCAGAATGTTGCCACAGTGAATGATGCAGGAGAGCCTGGGTCAGCACTGTTTACAGAAGAGCACATGATGTTTTGTCTCAATGAGCAGGAAGATGTTTTGTGATAAAATGTGGTAAAAGCTTGTCATTTTTTCCAACTAAGCAGTAAAAGGAAGTACACAATGTAAAATGATCAATGAGAAGCTCTGAGTCATCAGTAACATAGGACAATGGGCAGGGTAAAAATAAGATTGAACGTGCTGAAACAGAAAGCAATAACAGCATGGCCTAGGAGCCCAAGTAACTATGGGACTCCAAGGCATTTAAATGTAGTTCGTGCTTTTTAAAGTTACTGAGTGGTGGGGACGCTGAGGTAAACCATGGTGGTTCTATTTTCTTTAGAGTCAGGTTTATTAAGATACAACTTACATACAGTGAAATTCACTCTTTTCAGCGTACGTTCTATGAATTTTGACAGATCCATTCAGTGAGGGAGTCACCGCTGTGATCAGTCCCATAAAACTCTCCCCTAATTTCCTTCTGTTCCCCAACCCCAGCCCCTGCAACCAATGATCTGTTTTCTGTTCCCGAAATTCTCTCCTTTCCAGTTTATCTTATAAATGGAATCATACAGTAGACAGAATTTTTATTCTGGCTTAAATATTTCTGTACAGGTTTTTGTGGGAACATAAGTTTTCATTTCTCTGGGATAAATGCCCAGGAGTGCAAGCTGGGCTTAAATGGTAGTTGCATATTTAGTTTTTAAAGAAACCACCAAACTGTTTTCCAGAGAGGCTGTGCCACTTTACATTCCCACTGGTTATGTGGAAGTGATTCAGCTTTGATTTTTTTTTTTTTTTGTAAATTTGTGTTAAACTGCTGAAACTGTCAAAGATTTACTCAGGTTAAAATGTATGCACTTTTAAGAATGTTTTCTTTCTCGAAGTGTCATGACTAATCTCACTGCAATAAAAAAAACCTAAGTCACTCCCAAAAGGGAAAACAAAAATCATGCTGGCCTTACTCTTTTCCCCCAGAAACTTTAAACCCCAGGGAAAAAATAGAATAATGATGTTTACAAAGTTCTTGGCAGGGAGAGAACATGGGATCCATGAATATCCAGCCAATATTCTAATCAGGCATCTCAAAGACTAAGGAGCTCTGGGAAAAGAGCAGCAGCCCCGTGGGGCCCCTGGAAAACAAAGCAAAGCAAAGCAAAACAAAAAGAAAATACTATAATGAAATCCAGCCAACCCATAAATGAATCGAAATGAAGAGTGGAACGAGAAAACTGTAATAAAAAAATGGCAGTGCACATTACATCCACTCAATTATAGACGGAAATCAAACAACTGGAGGATGCATAGTTGTAACACAGATGTATATAAAAGTTCTGAAAAATAACAATAATACAAGCAAAATAATCAGGAGACTAGGGCAGAGCAGACAAAGATCATTACAGAGATCATTATAGCTTTCATTACAAAGAGACAATAGTGCCCTAAATGGAAACTTATGATAAAAAATACTTGGATCTCAACGATTTTCATTAAGATGTTGAAAACACATAGATTATATGACATAATATAATATATATCTTAGGCATTAAAGGAAACTTTTAGGTACCCTTATTTCTTTGGTAGTCAGTAATCTATTTAGTTTTAACTCAGTTCATTTGGAAATAACCAAAAAAAAAAAAGACTGGGTGTCCTGCCAGATATACTGCACGGTGAATACTAACCAGCTGTACATCTATTTATAAATACATTTCAGCATTCCTGATTGCCTTGTGCAGTTTAAATTCTCCTTTGAACCGATTGCAACATCTTACTGGTTCTTTCATAATGAATGAGTTGAAATCTTTGTCATGTGTTCATTTCATATTTGTATGAGAATCACAATTTTACCTTTTCTAAAAATTATCTTTTAGCATTCATTTAATGTAGCACATTAGGGGCAGTTGGTGGTGGTGGGATGAATTGGGAGATTGGGATTGACATGTATACACTAATATGTATTAAATGGATAGCTAATAAGAACCTGCTGTATAAAAAACTAAATAAAATAAAATTCAAAACAAAATAATGTAGCACATTGGGTTTTCCTGATAGGAAATTGTCTCTGAAATTTCTCCCTGTTGAAACACCTGGCAGGCAGGTGAGCTTATGAGGTCAGTCTCCCCTCCTGGAGCATTTGTAGAAACCTTGGACATAAGTTTGTTCCCCAGGGACTGTCACATGCCTCTGTTATTGGGCTTTTGGAGACAAGGCCTGGAGCTGAGCTTGGACCTTGGTGGGGGGCATCTTTCTTGGGGGGCCTGCCTACTTCCTCTGTCATCGCTCTCTCTACCTGCCCTGCCTGGGCCACACATCTGGGCAGGGGCTGCTGAGATTCCTGTGGGGCAAGTAGGGCCCCAGGGCAGTTAGGAGCTGTGAGGGCTTTGAATTTAGACTTCAGTTAAGTGGGTTGGTTTGACCTCTGCAACCTGTCCCCCAGGACTTTAACTTTATTTAAATAACTTAAATTTACATTTGAAAAGTGATATTCCATTCAGTTATTTGAAAACAGCATGACTGGAACCATTTGGGTATCCACTTTTTAACCATACATTTTATGAAATCTAAATACAGAACAAGAATTTCCTATGACAGTTTAGCTCCTGGATTGAAATATGCTGCAAATGTAAAATACACACAAGATTTCGAAGACTTAGCACCAAAAAAAAAAAAAAAAAAAGCAAAACATTACATTAGTTTTTTTTTTTTTCCTACTGATTACGTGTTTGTATATTTTTGTATATATTTGATATACTGGGTAAAATATATTAAAAAAAAAATTTTTTTTTTAATTTTATTTTTTTTAAATAAATTACCCAGTATATTTTTGATATACTGGGTAAAATAATATATATATATAATTGCAATTAATTTCACCTTTCTCTTATGTTGTGAAACATGATACTAGAAAATTTGCGATCACATGCATGGCTGTCATCACTGGGACAGGCCACTTTGGACCGTGAATTCTCCCATCCCTCTCCGCTTCCTTCCTCATTTGCCAGGCGGCACCAAGTGGTCCTGATCCCCGCTTTTCTGCTTTGGGTTCCTAACCCCTGGCAGCGTGTTGTCTTCTTCCCCGGAGGATCACTCTGCCTGCTTTCCCCTGTCACTCCAAGGAGGGGTTTTGAGGTTCTAAGAGGGAAGACCCCAGACTTTACAGGCTTTCCCGGATCTGGCCGCCAGAGGGCGCTGCGTCGCCGCCGCCGTTGCTAAGCAAGTCTTGGCCCGGAAGCAGTTTCCCATCCCGCCCCGCCCCGTGACTGCCGCGCGCCAGATAATTTCCGGTGGGGAGTGCGCTGAGTTGCGGAGAGCGGGCTCCTGCGGTGGCGACGCGATGACCACTCTCCGGGCCTTCACGTGCGACGACCTGTTCCGCTTCAACAACATGTGAGTGAGGCGCGCCCGGGCCCAGCTGCCGCCGGCGCGTCCCCGGGGCCGTGAGGGGGGGGGGCCGGGAGGACGTGCGGACGCCCCGCTGACCTTGGCCGGGCGGTCGTCCCCTCGCAGCCCTGCGCGCGGTGTGGGCGCTTCTCGGGGCGCCGGGCGGGGCGGGGGGCGCCAGCCCGGCTCTGACCCCCGGCTCCGGCCCGCGTTCCCCTCCGGGCGGGTTAACACTGTGGCCCCGTCCAGGGCCCGGCGGGTTTGCGCGTCTCGTTACTGTTGCTGCGCATCCCGGCGGGAGCACTGCTGCGGCAGGCCCAGGGTATGCACGTTCCTCCGTCCGAGTTAAGTCAAGGACTGTGACTTGCAGGTGCCATTTTTTTTTTAAGTTTTATGAAAGTTCCTGAACACTTAAAAAGTTGGTAGAATTTTACCGTGAACACGTGTAGACTATTAGCTGGACTCTACCGTTAACATTTCGCTACATTGGCTTCATCACATTTCTGTCCACCCACCCATCTATCCATGCACCCACCAATCCCAGACCCAGTTTAAACACCCCGGGGCAGTTATGTGAAAACTAAGGACCAGAGAGTACATATTCAAGTGTCAGGAGGATGGAAAGAACTTGAGATGAGGTGGCTAGAAACATTCAAAGAGGGGCTGAGCCTTGGAAAATGGGTAAGTGTTGACAGGGTTGAGGAAGGAGGTTCTGGAGGAGGAAGCAGGTGCGGGCGTGGCCGACACCTGGGAGGTGAGTGATGGTAGGAGCGGGTTTCTGTAACTCAGTGGTCAGAGAAACTGGTGAGACTGGACTTCTGCTCCACTATTGGGGGAACTTTCTGTGGGGCCTCTCCCAGTAGGAGCAGTGTAACTAAGGCGACTGTTGAGGGCTCGCTGTGCCTGGCACTGGAGTAACCCATTTCCTCCTGACAACTCTGTGAAGTAGCTGCCCTTCTCATCCCCAGTTTTGGTGTGAGTAAACTAAGGTCCTGAGAGCGCAGGGGAATGGCCCAGGTGGTAGAGCCCTGCGTGGGAGTGGGCAGAGCAAGGAGACTGATCAACGAGATTGGCTCCAGGCGGGTGGTTCTTACAGTGGTCCGTGAGCACCGGGAGCTTTTTGGAAATGCACGTTCCTGGCCGCCCAGGAGCCTGAGCTCGCCACCGCGGGCCTGCTGGAAGAGGTATACCAGGCAGGTGTGAGCCATTTAGGTGGTCTTGGCAATGGCCGGGAGATGATGACTTGACAAAGGCTTGGGTTTGGGAAGCCCAGGCTCTGGAGGTGACAGTATGCCTTGAAGTTTCAAGAATAGATGAGGCAAAGCCTGCTGGAGAACCAGTTATAACCGAAGACCTAGGAAGGGCCAATATTTTTATACGAAAATGAATAGAGTAGAAGGAAAATAAGCATGACCATTTATTTATAACAAAACATTTGATTTCCGAGAATCATGTAGCTTGTGAAGTCTTCTTCAGAATATGCCAATAGGGGAGCTCCTCTCCCTCCTCGTTTTCTCCTACTTCTCACTTTGATTAGGGCACTTCCATCAAGAACTCCGAGAATCACTGGAGTAGGGTGTTGCAGTAGTAACTGAAAGAAGCAGTGGATGTAGAAACGTTGCAGTTAATTTAACAAATATTTTATTCTTGGCAAAATGTTTTATGCCTATTGTGCACCAGTGCTGAAGAGACAGTAGTGAACAAAACAGAAAAAAAATGTTATCTTTATGGAATTTACAGTTTACTTATTTAAATTGGCTGTGCTGTGTGGCTTGTGGAATCTTAGTTCCCTGACCAGGGATTGAACTTAGACCCTTGGCAGTGAGAACCAAGTTGGGGGAGTCATAGTCATAACCACTGAACCGCCAGGGAATTCCCAGAATTTACAGTTTAGAGGGAAGAGTAAGATAGAACTTAGCATTCAGTACAAAGGAAAAAATGTGAGCTGGAAAGGGAAATAGGGAGTGAGTGGGGATTCGGCTTTGGGTGAGGTGTTCAGGGAAGGTGTCACTGCAGAAAGACCTGGAGGGGAGGGAGTCTGTGGGCACTGTGGGCGGGAGACTTCCAGGCAGAGGGAGTGGCACGGGCACAGATTCCTGTTTCGGAGGAGGAGGCAGCGGCAGCTGTGCTGGAACAGTGAGTGTGGGAGTGTGAGAACACCAGGTCCGATCGGAGTCAAAGGGCTCGACCTCGGAGAGGCATAGAACGTGGGTCTCCGCCAAGGGCGCTCAGACACCCAGGTGGAGAAGTCAGCTGGGCATCCGGATGTGGGAGTCTCAAGTTTAGGTCTGGGCTAAAGATAGAAATTTCGGGGTCAACACTATGTGGATGGCATTAAAACCAGGTGGCTAGGGACTTCTCTGGCGGTCCAGTGGTTAAGACTCCACGCTGCCAATGCAGGGGGCCCGGGTTTGACCCCTGGTCAGGGAACTAGATCCTGCATGCCGCAACTGAGATCCCACACGCGGCAACTGAGATCCCGTGGTGCTGCAGCTAACACCCAGTGCAGCCAAATAAAAACAAACACAAAAAACCACGTGGCTAGGTGACATCAGTGATGGGTGAGTGCGGACAGGAAAAACGAGGTTCCAGGAATGTGCCCCAGGGCATCACATGTTAAAGGAGACACAGTGGCCCTGTGAGGTGGGAGGAAAACCTGATGGTGGGTCTGGAGTCTGAGAGAGGACAGCATTTCAGGAGGACGGAGCCCTGAACTGTGTCAGGTCTGCCGGTGGCTAGGTGTGCAGCACGTTTATACATTTCTTTCAGGGGAGCAGAGTCCTGGGTCCCGAGAGGTGGGGGCATCTGCTCACCAGGCCTCCAGGCCTGGGTCCAGGAGTGCAGGTGGAGTGTGGGCGCAGAGGTGTAGGGGGGGTGGAGCGGGGGTGGGACCTTGGTGAAGCTTTCTCCTTACTGCTGTTTTCTTCTTGAAATTGGAAGCAGCTGAGGTGGAAGGGGGAGTGTTGAGGAGACAGGAGAGGGTATAGAGTAGTCCTGAGAAGCAGGGGAGAGTGAGTCCACATGGATTAGTGATTCTCCAGGTGTGGCCAGGGGCGCCTCAAGATTGTTTTGGGGGTTCTGCAAGCCATTTTCATGATAATAAGGGTTTTGTTTGGGGTGGTTTTTCTTTTGCCTTTTTCATTTTCATTCTCTCACAAGTGCACAGTGGAGTTTTCAAGGTTTGTGATCATGTAATAGTAAGCATAACAGGCACAGAAATGAGAAATCAGCTGCCTTCTATTAAACCAGACATTAAAAAGATCTGTAAAATTGTTAAAATAATGCCATTCTTGTCACTAAATTTTTGTTTTCGAAAATAGTGACGTTTTTGGTTTAAAAAAAGTTATTCATATTAATGTATTATTTATTTTTTAAATGAATGTTTTAAACATTTAAATGTCAATAGATGTAATCCACATAAACAGAAGTTCTTGGGGTTTTCAGTAATTTTTGAGTGTAAAGGGATCCTAAGAACTGCTGGTCTCCAGAAATGCAGTGTGACTGTTTGCATTGTTAAGGGTCCAAAAGCAGAGTTTGACTGTGCAAGAGGAAGAGTTGAAGGTAGCTGTTTTGGGGTCTGGCAAAATATTGGTTCCATTAATTGAATAGGAAAGTAAGGGGCAGAGGTCTTTGTAGACAGAGGCAGGTGTGCATTTAAGAAATGCTGTCGGGAGTGTTGTGATCGGATATGCTGGCGTGGCAGGCGCTCAGCAGCTCCAGAGCCAGATCAGGAGCTTCCCTCTGAGAACAAAATTGAAAGTATGGGAATGGGGGCGGTGGGGGGCAGAAATGTAGAAGAGTGGCGAGCAGAAGCCTGAGTGGTGAGATGGCCCACATTTTGGGGGAGGAGGGAGGGAGGAGGAGGAATTGGCAGAGAGGGGGTGCTTGTCAGATGCTGCAGGGCTAGGGTTATTACCCCCATCTGTGATTGACATGCCAGCTTGGTCCCCAGTTCCGGTAACAGTTTATTGCCATTTAGAAAATGGAAGGCTTTAGGGACTTCCCTGGCAGTCCGGTGGTGAAGACTCGGTGCTCTCACTGCTTCGGGCCTGGGTCCAGTCCCTGATCCAGAACTAAGATCCCACGAGCCACTTGGTGCAGCCAAAGGAAAAAGCAAAAAGGAAGGTTTTGATGATGTATTAACTATAATTTGTAAAGCAGCAGCAGTTAAATGAAAATGTACAGAGGTCTTTATAGTGGCTGTGATGATAGCTCATTATGGTCATTAGGAAATTAAACCATCTTTCTTAGCTGTAAAGTTGGTTTTAAAGTTGTGGATTTAACATGTTTTGTTTTCCCTGTGCATGTTATTTTTAGTTGTAGTCTCCTTATTTAAACTGGTTTTGTAAACACTGCTTACTGTTGACATTTTTCTTGTTTCTTTTAGTAACTTGGATCCACTTACAGAAACTGTATCCTTTTTTAAAAAGTTAAATGAAGGCTTACTAAGAATAAGGAAAATAGAGGATCAAAAGGAAAAAAATAGACTTGAGTACCAAAAATGTTTAAAACTTGGAGGTCAGGAAACATAAGCAACATTGAAAGCAGTTGAAAATAAAAAACACTAAAAACCTGGGAACAAGAGTTATCTTACACCTGTTGACAAGCCGCTAATATAATGACCTCATAAATCAAGAACAGTACAGTTCCCTGCCCACCCTGCCCCTCAGTAGTAAGCATAGCTGTGAGCAGCAGAAAGTGGTGACTTCAGCAGGAGGGGCTATTCCTGCCTGATGTGAATGAGTCTAGAGTGGACGAGCAGTCCTGGTGGCTCTGTGACATTCCCAGCGACCGGGCTCTGCAGTGGAACCACTCTCCCGTTCCCGGGTGTTCCTGGCTTCCTGTCCAGGTGGCTCCCAGAGCGTACCGCATCTCAGCCATGTTCTTGGCAGGAGGATCGATCAACAGGGGAAGGTGAGTGCGTCCTTCCCAGACTCCCAGGGGTACCTCTGGGAGGTGCCACACAGCCTTCTGCATCCTGTGGACCCCTGCCTCGTGCCATACCTGCCTATCTAGAACAGAGTCTGGAATGAGCCTGATTTATATTGGGGCGTGTTGCTAAAGTGAAAGAAGGACTTTGGCTAACATCAGCAGTACTTCTCATGCTCCCCACTAGAGATACGGGCAAAGATGTGTGAAGTGAGGGTCCTCTGACCCTAACAGACAATCCCCACACGCTCAGGAGTGTGAAACAGAGCTGCACTTTGGGGTTATGTGCCATGTCCACTGCAGGGTAGGAGAGTAGTATTAATTGATAATTTAACAAAGAGGGCATATAGGATGCTATGAAAATATTAAAAAGAGTTCGGTCTCACCAGTTAAAAGACATGCAGATTAAAACCAAAATGAGATACCATGTTTTATCTATCAAATTATGAAGGATTTCAAGCAGTGATAAAACTCAAGGCTGATGAAGGTGAGGTGAGGGGAGCAGTCTCATAAACTGCGAGTGACAGAGTAAATGCTAGTCTTTCTGGAAGGCACTTTGGTAATGTAATACCTAGTAATTCAATTTCCTGGAAGCTGAAGATAATAAGAAATAGAGTCAATTATGTCGGGTTGGCACAGTAATGTGCATGGGCCAGGTTTGGCCCACTGCCTTTTTTTGTAAATAAAGCTTTATTGGACACAACCATGGTGAATAATGTACATATTGTCTGTGCTCTTCTCCTTGGTTTTCACAGTTTTTTCTTTTAAATGGAAATAGAGTTGATTTACAATGTTGTATAAGTTCAGTAGTTTTTTATGGTAAGAATGCACAACAAGGTAGAAGTAGAAGAACCTTTCTTAATTTGGTAAAGGTTTGATACTAAAAACCTTCAGTAAGCATTATAGGTAAGTGAGAAATTAGATTCGTTCCCTTTAAGATTGGGTGTAAGATGAGAATGCCTGCTGTCACTACTGCACGTTAACATAGTTCCAGAGGAACTGACCAAAGGTATTGGAAAGAAGAAAGAAGTGAAAGAAAGTATAAGGATAAGAAAAGTAGAAATAAAACTGTCATTATTTATAATTGATAATACAGTCATCTATCTAGAAAAAAGAACAACCTATTAATAATAAGCGAGTTCAGCAATGTTAGAACCAAGATCAAGTTTTGAAAAATCAATAGCATTTCTGTACACTAGCAGTAGAAATCAAGAAAATATTTTTAATTGAATACTTAAAACATGAATATCTACTTAAAGAACATCATGCATAAAACTAAAAAGTTGAAAGAATGGAAGCAGATTTTTTTTAATATCTAAAACTGACAGGAAGTGAATAGCTAGCATATATAACGAGTTTTTTTTTCTGTTCTGTGCCGTTTTTTTAAAATTTTATTGGAGTATAATTGATTTACAGTGTTGTGTTTCAGGTGTACAGCAGAGTGATTCAGTTATACATATATTCATTATTTTTCAGTCTTTTCTCCTACAGGTTATCACAGAATATTGAGTAAAGTTCCCTGTGCTATACAGTAGGTCCTTATTGGTTACCTATCTTATATATAGTAGTGTGTGTATGTTAACCCTAAACTCCTGATTTATCCCCCCCCCTCCCCTCCATGTTTCCTCTTTGGTAACCATAAGTTTGTTTTTGATATTTGTAAGCCTGTTTCTGTTTTGTAAATTAAGTTCATTTGTATCAGTTTTTAAATTACACTCCACATATCAGTGATATATGATATTTGTCTTTGTCTGACTTAGTCTGATAATCTCTGGGTCCATCCATGTTGCTGCAAATGGCATTCTTTTCTTTTTTTTTGGCTGAGTAGTATTCCACTGTATATATGTATACCATATCTTCTTTATCCGTTCCTTTGTCGATGGACATTTAGGTTGCTTCCATGTCTTGGCTGTTGTAAACAGTGCTGCAGTGAACATTGGGGTGCATGTATCTTTTCAAATTATAGTTTTCTCCTGATAAATGCCCAGTAGTGGGATTGCTGGGTCATATGGTAGTTCTATTTTTAGTTTTTTAAGGAACCTCCATACTGTTCTCATAGTGGTTGTACCAATTTACATTCCCACCAACAGTGTAGGAGGGTTCCCTTTTGTCCACACTCTATCCAGCATTTGTTTGTAGACTTTTTGATGATGGCCATTCTGACCAGTGTGAGATGATATCTCATTGTAGTTTTTTTTTTTTTTTTTTTAGATTCCGTATATATGTGTTAGCATATGGTATTTATTTTTCTCTTTCTGACTTACCTCAGTCTGTATGACAGACCCTAGGTCCATCCACCTCACTACAAATAACTCAATTTCTTTTCTTTTTATGACTGAGTAATATTCCATTGTATATATGTGCCACATCTTCTTTATCCATTCATCTATTGATGGACACTTAGGTTGCTTCCATGTCCTGGCTATTGTAAATAGAGCTGCAATGAACATTGTGGTACATGACTCATTTCGAATTATGGTTTTCTCAGGGTATATGCCCAGTAGTGGGATTGCTGGGTGGTATGATAGTTCTATTTTTAGTTTTTTAAGGAACCTCCATACTGTTCTCCATATTGGCTGTATCAATTTACATTCCCACCAACAGTGCAAGAGGGTTCCCTTTTCTCCACACCCTCTCCAGCATTTATTGTTTGTAGATTTTTTGATGATGGCCATTCTGACCGGTGTGAGATGATATCTCATTGTAGGTTTGTTTTTTTTTTTAAAGAGAAAAAAAGTTTTCTTAAATCTGGAAAAACAAAGCACAGAAGAACCAACAATGTTTCAAACAGAAAGTCACAAAAATTGTAACCATCATCATCAGTTCACTCAGTCCCATGTAATTATTTTTCATCTTGATCTTTTGTTAGCACTTTTTTGAATTCATCAGTTTTCCATTAGAGTTCTGAAAATGCTTATTCATTCAGTTCAGCAGTATAGTCACTTACCAGAAACCTGTACTTGTCAGTCTTTTCCATGAATTACTTGAAGATAAAACCCTTTATAGGAACATTTTTGCAAAAGCAACAGAGTACACCCAGAACTGTCTGTAAATGACAAAAGACTTAAAAATGACCACAGTTAAAGATTTGATGAAAGTTCATAATAATGCACTTGACAAGGAAATTTAGTTATTTCTGAGATATACATTTAAAAATAATAACTAGAATTATGACTTATAACATTATACCAGAACATACAAGATTTTTAGGAATTTCTTGTAATGTCTGAAACGTTTATATTAACATATTTCCATACAAATAACCCAAAGAAAGTTTTAGTACTAGTTATTTTTAATTTTTGAATTTTATTTTATTTTTTTATACAGCAGGTTCTTATTAGTCATCAGCTTTATACACATCAGTGTATACATGTCAGTCCAAATCGCCCAATTCATCACACCACCATCCCCACCCCACCATGGCTTTCCCCCCTTGGTGTCCATACGTTTGTTCTCTACATCTGTGTCTCAACTTCTGCCCTGCAAACCGGTTCATCTGTACCATTTTTATAGGTTCCACATACATGCATTAATATACAATATTTGTTTTTCTCTTTCTGACTTACTTCACTCTGTATGACACTCTCTAGATCCATCCACGTCTCAACAAATTACCCAATTTTGTTCCTTTTTATGGCTGAGTAATATTCCATTGTATATATGTACCAAAACTTCTTTACCCATTCGTCTGTCAATGGGCATTTAGGTTGCTTCCATGACCTGGCTATTGTAAATTGTGCTGCAGTGAACATTGGGGTGCATGTGTCTTTCTGAATTATGCCCATCATTTCTGATGATTCTAACTGGTGTGAGGTGATACCTCATTGTAGTTTTGATTTGCATTTCTCTAATAATTAGTGATGTTGAGCAGCTTTTCATGTGCTTCTTGGCCATCTGGATGCCTTTGGAGAAATGTCTATTTAGGCCTGCCCATCTTTGGATTGGGTTGGTTGTTTGTTTTTGTGGTACGCGGGCCTCTCACTGTTGTGGCCTCTCCCGTTGCGGAGCACAGGCTCCAGACGCGCAGGCTCAGCAGCCATGGCTCACAGGACCAGCCACACCGCGGCACGTGGGATCTTCCCGGAACAGGGCACGAACCCCTGTCCCCTGCATTGGCAGGCGGACTCTCAACCACTGCGCCACCAGGGAAGCCCTGGTTGTTTGTTTTTTAAATATTGAGCTGCATGAGCTGTTTATATATTTTAGAGATTAATCCTTTGTCTGTTGATTGGTTTGCAAATATTTTCTCCCATTCTGAGGGTTGTCTTTTCGTCTTGTTTATGGTTTCCTTTGCTGTGCAAAAGCTTTGAAGTTTCATTAGGTCCCATTTGTTTATTTTTGTTATTTCCATTACTCTAGGAGGTGGATCAAAACAGATCTTCCTGTGATTTATATCAAAGAGTGTTCTTCCTATGTTTTCCTCTAAGAGTTTTATAGTGTCCAGTCTTAAATTTAGATCTCTAATCCATTTTGAGTTTATTTT